GGAGCGGCGTGTCTGATCAGGAGGCACTGTTGACTGTTAAGAGTGACACAAAGAACTTGTTTTGCTCCAGAACTACCTATCATCTTACCTTGCTACTCCCAACCACCACAATGTGCTTGATAAAACTTTCATCCTTCAGGGACTCCATGTTACACTACTGGCATCTTGGGTCCTTTGATACTGTAAGCGCCCTAGAAAATCAGGTTTCTGCTGCTTCCCAGAAATTCACTCAAAGGTTTTTCCTCTCTTACCCACAGCCTTATGTGATCAGCTGTCTGTAACAGTCATACCAGTCTGCTTCACTCCGAGCCGTCTCTATTTGAATGGGACTGGCAAATAATGTAGCAATAGCCCTAAAGAGAGCTGCTTCACATGCACGGAACGAAGCTTTGCAATTTATGTTTAATTAAACTTTGCTTCTTCCCAATCTACTGCATAATCAAGAATACAGTAAGTAATCACTGGGATTTTGTGGAGTAGGAAGGTTGGAAAGATCAGGATGAACTCAAGCCAACTCAATTTTTCTAAGAAAAATGATCATTAGCACTTTGGAAAATTGCTCAAGGCTTTGATTCTTCAATCTAATCTTCATCGATGTCAATGGTACTACACTATGAAACAAATTTCTTTCTGTTAAAATCATTCAGTTCCACTTATTTTCATAGGATTACATAAATTTAACATGCTATATTCCAGTCTATCATAATTGAACTTCTCCAATTGAATATGCACAAAAGCTGAGATGTAGCTGGAGTGAAAAGATAATTTAGAAAGCTAAGAAAGTTACAAAACAAGAGAAGAGTGAAACTAAGAAATTCTATAAATCTACGTCCTTTTAATTTTCCACCGTTATTAACAATTATCATTCTTTCCTTTGATACCTGCCAAAAGACAACATCTGCTGTAGCTAAGCTGGAACTGTTAGTATGCGGAGGGATCAACCAAGCAGAATGTCTAAAGGACAAAATTCAGTCCATGTCCACCTCAGAGGGCACACTGCTTGTGTTTCATTTCTCTAGCCAGATGCAGATTTTGACAAATTTCCTACAATCTTCTGTGAGAAAGGATTTTCTCATAAAACTTCAAAGACTGTTTCGCAAAGGTTCAGCATAAATATCACAAGATCGGTGCTGGCAGTAGAAATTTGAAAACAAGCGGTTAAGGCAAGGCATATAAAGAGCGCATAATTCTTAGAGATGTCTAATAGAAGCAAATCTGCACTTCTCACAAATGTGCAAAAAAACTGATTTTTTCTTTTGTTTTTATAAAATTAGCAAAATATATTACTAATGGAGAATGACACTGCCAAGGTTTCTGGGAAGGTCTGTGTATTTAGGAAAACGTATAAGGTAAGCTGGGACCAACACAAAATTGTGTTCAGTGGTGAAAGAGTGATTGCTTTGCTAAGACTCAAATTATTGCAAAAAGATCACTTCCTGAGCATAGTAAACCAGGTATGTTTGCAGAGCTATCTTATCTTGTGAGGTAAGGAGTACCTTGCTACAAACATGGAAATCAACAGGAACTTCTGTTGATCAGTACCACTGAAAATAAAGCCTCTGACCATTCATGAGGGACTACAATACATTTTGTTTCACTGTTAAATCAATCAGTTCCGTTTCTACGACTCTGATCACCAAATGTTGAATAAAAGGGTGTACCTAGTCAGTTACCGTGATATAATTAATACCGCATTAAAAACATATGAGCAGCAGATAGACCTACAAAATATTAGGGAGAAAAGATTATCCAAGACCAGATTACCTGAAAACCAGTTAAAATCAACAACTCAAACAGAAAGCTCTGATCAGTGGCATTTCTATTGCAAAAATATTATTACTCATCTAACTAGATCTGCAATCAGCAAAACACATTAAAACAGTTACAAATGACTAACAGCTAATAAACATCAGCTTCACCTGAGGCTAGGAATTTAGTGCTAAAACGAAGCTTATAATCCCGTGAGCACGTTCAGTTTTAAACGGCAGGTGGCAAATCAAGTGACTACAAGCTACAGTCCCCATGTGTGAAAATCAATACCTGAGAAGGTTTTCTCCATCTCCTTTGGCAGCAATTTAATAGGGTGAACAAAATGCATGTGTTAGTGGAAAAACAGAGGCTGAACAGAAAAATGACCCTTAAACCAAAACCAGCCTCTTCACTGCAGTCTAATCACAAAAGCTTGAGATGCTTTGTATACAGCTGAGGAAAAATAAATCTAAGACAATTTTAAGAGAAAGCTGGAAAGAAAGTAATTGTAAACTTACATTAGTGACCTATTTTCTGAAACCACCTTATTTTATACTGGATTTTTCTCTCGCTAAGGATATCGGAATTCTTCAGAATTAAGATAATTTCTTCAAAGGGAGCAGTTGCATCTGCCAGTGCCGCACAGAACAGTGCGTTCCGCATACTGGTTCCCATGTCCCGTACTAGACAATGCAGTGTGTGTTAGCTTAAGATGCCTGTTCATGGCGGGTACAGATAAACTGGTTCAATCCTAGCTGCTTCACTTCGTTAATACTAAAGATCACTGTGACACTAATTGATCTTGAGCCTGATCTATTTATCAAGTCTTTTACATGCGGGAGCTGAAGAATTAAAGCCACTTAGTCATTCACAGAGAGTGAGCAACAATGTTTAATTTTCTGAAGGGATTTTCCTATTGTTTCACAATATACCTTAATCGTATAATGTAATCAATCATAATTCATCACAAGAGTACTCCAGTATTACTTTGACAGCAGTTTTAGTCTAATGAGGATTTTTAATAAAAACAGACACTATCTTTTATCTATAAGAAAAATAATAACTGTTTTAACCATGATACAAGGAACAGCTCTTAGTCCTGACAACGACTCTTGCCTAAGATGAAGTATTTTCATCAGTAAGCTAGTTGTTATGCATTACCAGCATGTGTGCAGTAGCCTAGCGTGACACCAATTTGCATAATTTCTCTTTTCTAACAAGCCTCAAAAATAATAATAGGCATGTGAGATAGAATCTATTAATTTTAAACTTCCTTCAGCAGTTATCTTTATGAAGCAGTTATCAAAAGAACATTTAAAGAATTAAATTTAATAAATTATAAATGTATTATTCGGGTTATCCCGTCTGGGCCTATAACTAAGTTGAATTCAGTAACAAAGACCAAGGCAAGTCCACAAGCAACTTGCTCCAGGTCTTCCAAACAAAAGAGACTGACAAAAAGTGGCAGGACAATGCTGATGTCCACCATTAATTACTGAACTAGAAAACAGTTAAGGATCTTGGGGTAAAAATAAATAAAAAAGAGAGAAAGATAGTGATACGTATAGGCTCCACTCCATAGAGCTGCTATACCTGTATAAATTATTTAACAGTGCTTTAATTTACAGAGAGGAACAAAAAAACCTTTGTTTTTTGCTGGTCTGAACCCAAATAAGACATTACTATACGTTAATATTTTAGGCAAGCAGAAAGATTAATGTGTTAGCAAATTCTGATGGGAAGCTAGCTTCAGAAAAAGTGAAAATAGCTTTCCACAGTATAATATATTAACTGATGGATTTTTTCTTATCTTCATGACTTATGCATTTGTATATCCTGACTTGCATAGCAAACTATATGGCTGCAGTGCTGTGATTCTCTCACATACTCACTTGTCCAACAAGAAGTCTGGCTTTGTGACTTCAAAGAGGAATGTAGATCTGGATGCACTTTGTTATGAGTTCTGATATACGGTTATCTATAAGAAAGATCCACGTTATCTTTACAGTGCAAGGGAAGACACCTGCACATCTGCACAATACACATATGGGCCTAATCTCCCCTAATACAAAAACACATTACCAAAGTACTCAGCTATCCCACTGACGGAAAAAGTACAAGCAACTCAGGAGAAACAACATACAAAGCCAATATGGACACAAGTGGACACAAGCAAAAACTCTCCCACTTTGCTCTTGCCAGGTATTTCACACTGAGAAATACTAATCCATTTCAATTCCTACTGATTCAGGAGATCTGAGGAAGATTAACACCTCCAAGAGCTGTCATCCCGAAGAGAGAACAACTTAGTAACAATAATAAAAAAAATTGCCATGAAGCTCCACACTAGAACTTAGCACAAAATAAACTGTCCTCTTTTCTCAGCTTAACCGTTGGGCTGCTGCAGGTGCTCCTGAAGAAAGTTAGGAGAATGCGTGAACTTAATTTACAAAGTGCAAACACGACAGGTAGGGACAGCAGCCTATAAACTGGCTACAACTGTGACCTAGAGTAACCAGCCTTTAGTAGTTCGTTATCAGCCAATCAAATTTTCTTTTACATACTGTTCAGTTTGTTCAACAGCTCTGCGTTCAATGCTGCAGGCTTTCAGAATGCGAAATACTGAAACATTGTGAGATATCATTCAACAAATTGAAGAAGATAGAGAATGGATAATATACTCCTATGCCACCACGAGCGGCAGTGAACTAGGAAATCAGTCATGGCTTTCACTGTAAAGTTAAATAAATTAGACTGAATACACAACATGCAGCAGGATCTACAGCACTATCTTTGCATCAAACTTTTAACCCAGAGATGTTACTGACTGTAACATTTCCCGTACCACAGAAATCTTAATTCCTACATGCTTCAGGTTCTCCATGTACAAATCAGACAAACTAGTACCTGCCTGACCAGAGCTGTACTGAAAGGTGCCTCCTACGGAGGCATCCCAAGCTGCATCTCTATGAACATTACAGCGTAACATCTGCTGCAACAGCCCTGACGCTTGTGCTATTTACTGAGAAACACAGTTGCTCTTCTTCTGTTAGTCCCTCCTTCTGACCTCTGTAGCAAGTACCCTTTTTGTGGGAAGGGAGGCTGATAAGAATCCCCACCCCTTAATCTTCCAGTCTTCCTTGTTATGGGGTGGTTCTTCAACCTCATTATGGGCGCCCAAAGCCTCCCACTGACATCTAGCCTCGCATTTTAAGTTTAAAGTTTAATAACTGGTTTGTCACACGGAGTAGTAAAATCTTTATTTAATGCTGCTCATTGAAAGATACTATCATCAAAATTTAATTTTTCTTTTTTTTTTGTTAGTCTTACAGCAGGTGCAAAACAAACTACAGAAAGAAACGGACAAGGCAAACATACCCCGTTGCAAAATGTTGGTAGTCCGACAGACTTAGAGAGACTTCCCAATATCAAAGAGAAATCATGTATTGCATACAGCTTCCCCAAATTGCCACAACTACCAAAATACTTGTGCTATGTGCATGTTTCTGTAAACAAACTTTCTCCTATCACAACTATTTACAAAATGGAAGGTTTGTTACCTAGCTTAGAACAGTAAGGGCTGCACCGCGAAGATACTCACTTTAGGGTGCTGCAGCAAAAACAATGTATTGTGTTGCTCTTTGGAAATTGTCATATCTGATTTATGTCCTTGTCGTATCAATTGCATAAAGGTAATTTTCTAATAATGAATTATTTATTCCCTGTTGTAATCAGACATCTGAGATAGTCATAAATATTTATACCACCAGTTAATTCACTAATGAAAACTGAACTAATTCTAAAAATGGGATATTATCTGAGGTGCGCTGACCTAACACTCTGGTCAACCTTTACGTTACTGAAGCAAGTTACCATATGGGAAGCAACTAACAAGAGCTTTAAGAAACCTGATCTTGAGAGTAGGGTTTAGAAATAGGTTCAGGTATCAGGACGGAAGATTTTTGAGAGTATCCTAGAAATGTCTCACACTTTTCACTACCCCTCATTTCCCAGTTTGTAAAATTAGGGATAGCAATCTCTACCCTTGCACTCCTTTGCAATCCTTGGGCTGCACGGGACCTTTCCAGAGAGATTTCCTCTTCAGGAGTGGAAGTTCCTCTTCCTCGTAGATACTGAATTATCACCTCTTACATTGGTCTATGCAACTTCACTATCCTTTATAAGCTCTAAGAAACATTTTGGGGTGTTGGCTGCATGAGACTAGCTGAGTACCACCTACGGATTGCAAGAGCCTATGGGCACAAATTCCTCAAACCTCGCCAGCCATACTGATGTCATCCCTCAATCAAGCCAGGTCAAAGTAAACTGCTAATCAAAGGATTTATTTACTACATCCACAATAGATGATGCAGTTTATCAAGGTTTATAAAGTCACAAGAGAAACAGAAGTTAAAAGAAACAAGACTACATCTGCTTTAAAGGTTCTTCTCATCCAATAAACTCACAGCTCTTTTTCAGCCTATATCTCCCCACAGAAGGAATCCTACTGGATGTGGCATAATCCAGCCACATCACTGGCATATTTCCTCTTTGTCCTCTCCCCTAAAACAAAACCTACTACTTTTTGATCCAAAAAGAGAGTAATCTGTTCCTTCCATGAAACTACTGCTTACCACCTGTTGGAGAGGCTGACGGCCTTAGGCTTGACATGAGTAGTCTCATCTGCCACTAACACACTTTAGTGATTATTCACATTTGGTTAAACCCTTCACAGGGTGTTAGTTCACTGTGAAGCATGGCGTTACCTGGAAAATGGTCAAACCTCAGAGACAAAGCCTCTCTATAGATTAACATTTATATTTTTCTATAAATATTCTTGTAAATTAACAACCATACTTTATACAGACACATAAACGGGATCAAGGTGTGTGCCTCATTTAACTGAGCCTTTTAATGGAGGCTGCATATGATAATAACAAATGTTGCTGGTGTTACAGTTACTAGTTCAGTATACAATCCTATCTTTGAGAGTGCTATAACAAAGCAATTCCAAGGTAAGACTACAGACGCCTTGTCAAGCTCAGTCCAGAACACAGGGAAAATACTGCTCTCATAAGTCTGAAAGCAGAGGGAAAACTAAGAACACTAAGAAATAATGTTAACAAAATATGAACACTGTTCTTCTCCCAAAACATGGAAAATTCTCACCGCTGAGAAAGGTCAGCCAGAAAAAAAGCCTGCACACAGACTCGCTCTTCTAAAATCGCAAATTCGTCTATCCTAGCTTTAGGAAAAAAAAAAAGCTTTCTGACAGGGACAGGCTACAGAAAGGAACGTTCTGTTGAACTTGTTCTCTGAACAATGACTCTCTCTTTCAATGATCTCAAACCTAAAGGAATTTCAGAAATGATTCACTGGCCTCCTGGGCTCCAGGAACAAAAGGAGGAGGAAAAATAACAGGAGTGTAAACAGAAGGAGCTGTAAACCACAGTTCACTCTCTATCTTCTACTACTGCATGCCAAGGAAAAAGAAAGAAAATCAGATGACAGCAGATTGTGAGGCAGCTGATCGTTTACAGTTTTCTGCTAATTCAGATGTAGAAAGCAAGGACAGTGCAGTGTTCTAAAAATAGGAGGAATGTTGTACTCCATGTAAAAATGAAACCGATTACAGATTTTTCTCTGGGTGTACAAAAAAATAGTGAAAAATTGTGATTTTCAAAAGATGAGCAGCCAATCATGCAAGTTAGGGAGTTAAGGAAGTCCCTGATAAAAGATCATGATCATTCAAAAGGAAACTACTGCAAAATCCAGGATTAATCCTTGACAGGACAATTAGATTTTGTCAGCAACTGAAGATATCCAATCCAGAACAAATCTTATCTTGAGTGGGCTGCACTCTGACACAATAAAGGTGTCCAGGAATCCAAAATATTACAAGAGAGACCTGCAGCAGACAGGCATGTAAGCTCAGACTCAAGCACGATCAGCATGTAAAACTGCGCATCAACTGTAAGAAACAGCACAGCGTAACACCTAATACATGAGAAAAGACGCAAGTGTAAGGGATTACATCATTTTGCAAGCTAGCAACGTCAGGGCCCTGAGCACATTTCCCCTCTTCCACAGGTTTGGTTCCCTGGACTCAGGGCCAACTTTGATAATGCAGCTGCCACAGAATCACAGAACAGTTGAGGATGGAAGAGAACTTTAAAGATCATCTAATACAACCCCCCTGCTCAAGCAGGGTCACCTAGACCACGTTGCACAGGACCCTGTCCAAATGATTTCTGAGTATCTCCAAAGATGGAGACTCTACAACCTCTCTGGGCAACCTGTTCCAGTCACGGTAAAGAAGTTTTTCTTTATGTACAGACAGAGCTTCCTGTGTTTCAGTTTGCTCCCATTGCCTCTTGTCCTATCACTGGGCGCCTCTGGGAAGAGCCTGGCCCTGTCCTCTTTATGCCCTTCCTTCAGATATTTCAGTGCACTGATCAGATTCCCTCTCAGTCTTCTTCAGGCTGAACAGTCCCAGCTCTCTCAGTCTCTCTTCATGAGAGGTGCTCTAGTCCCTTCATCATCTTCATGGCCCTTCACTGGACTCTCTCCAGTAGCTCCATGTCTCTCTTGTACTGGCGAGCCCAGCACTGGACACAGCACTCCACGTGTGGTCTCACCAGGGCTGAGCAGAGGGGAAGGATCACCTCCCTCAGCCTCCTGGCAGTGCTCTTCCTGATGCAGCTCAGGATGCCATAGGCCTTCTGGGCCACAAGAGCATATTGCTGGCCCATTGTCAACTTGTTGCCCACCAGGACAACATACAGTAATAACACCAGTCCTAGCAATTTGAAAAGCATGAACCTAAACACAGGAAATGAGGAAAATAGCCTAAAAGTTACACATTTGTATGTTTAGTTCTTTCTTCAGAAAATCTTTCCTCTGATGATTTT